ACACACACACACACACTAAGAAAACTCAGCAGAATGCGGGAATCTCAGCAAGGCATCCATTCCAGCAGCACAACTCAGAAATCAGCAGTTTTCTCCGTCTGTGTTTTGGCGGGTCATTACATTTCCCTTTTTTTGTCCGTTTGTGAGAGAGCAGCTTCTAGGAGCTTTAGTTTTGGGTTCACTGCATTTTAACCCTTTCTTTCCCCAACCTTTTGTGCTCGATTCACCCCCGGGTGAATTTGGTCACAAAATGTATCTAAAACATGTTTTTTCCTTGGCCTGCAAGCGTTCGTTTTTTACCATTTCTGCCCTAATTGCATTTAGACTTGATGCAGGCCTGTTCAAAGCACCTAGACCTCCTTTTGGAGGGGTGAAGTTGACCATGATGTTGCTGCTTGCCCCTTTTTTACTCCTACACTCTTCTCCCTCTCCCATTCTCTCTCTAGGCCCTTTTCTCCCCACCTTTGCTGACCGTTTTATCCCGGTCCTTTACTCCTACACTCTTCTCCCTCTCCCATTCTCTCTCTAGGCCCTTTTCTCCCCGCCTTTGCTGACCGTTTTATCCCGGTCCACACCTGAACCTTATTTTTCAGGTTCAGTGTACTTGGGCACTCCAAAATTAAGGCCCTTGTGATCCGTTGCATCCCTCTTGAGTCCCTTCTCAGTTTCAAGGCCTAGAAGCCTTGAAATTGATACTCTCACTTCTTTTTTAGCCCCTTCCATTCTGGTTCTCAAGAACCACCATTTCTTAGGTCCCTCGTGCTTGGTCACTTGTCTAGCTGGTGCTTTGCAGTCTGCTTGCACCCCCTTGTGTGCTTCCACTGCCCTTAGGTTTTTGTCACACTGTATTGGGGCGGCCCTCTAGGCCACACGCTAGACCGTATGTGGTAGCACCAATGCAATATTTTCTTTGGTGCCATAGAGCCCGTCCTCTTGCGGTATCATCGTCCATGTGCTATTTTTCCCGACGGTCCTTCCTCAAGAAGGAGGGCCACCTTTATTATTTTCCTGCAGCACTTCTGTAATCACGTCCCCATATGGTATTTTCAATGCCCCATGCGACTGCCAACGACGTCCTTGCCGTTTGTTGCGTTCGCACGCCTTTTATGGGGTCCATTGAATTCAAAAATTAATCTTTTACGCATCTGATCCCTGTGACATCCGTATTTTGAAAATGTGGTGGGCGTCGACATTTCAAAACTTCCTGGTTTGGAACGTTGTCTTTTCGTTCCCGTTTGCCCAGTCTTTCCTTGTTTTTCGTAATTTCGGGAAATTCCGTCTTTCATTGTTTTTTTTTTGGAACCCTTCTCCCTCTATTTCGTCCACTTGCTTCAAAAAAAATTCCTCGAGCAGCGGGCTTCTGTCACTTTTGTATTTTTAATATGTTGTAGGCTACGCCCCCTCGGACGTTCCTGCCTTGGAGCGCAGGCGTTCCGCACACATTTGCCCACCTTTTGCTCTTCTCTTGTGACTTGCGAGAAAAAACATTTTTTTCGGATATTCGGAACCTTCTCAAATTATCTCCCAATCTGTTATTGGTTTTCTTTCTTAGTCTAATCCAGGTCCTTATGCCCATGCAGTCCTCTCTTCCTCCATCTCTGCGTCCTACTAATCCCGAGTCCCATCTTGGGACTCTTGGTCGTCACGGTCCCATCTTTGTCATCCGTTTGGTATTTTCCTTCTCTCTTGTCCCCTTCTTTCGGATTCCTCTGTTGTGCACATCCTTGTTATGTATCCTGTCTCAAGGGCCGAGACTCGATTCGAGAACCACGGGTTCCGACAACGGCCAATCTAAGCACGCGATACACTACCAATGATAATAAAACTAACTTCACACGTAATTCGTGCCTGTTCCCTTTCTCACGTCCAACACAAAACTTTTCGACAAATGAATAAGTGGGCGTCGCGCGCAAGATTCTGAATAAATAGCGCGGCGTTGCCGGCCTTATCATATCGACTAGCCATGCATGAATACACAAGCAGTTGCAGTGATGGCATACTGTGCTACCCATAACCATGCGGTCGTCAATGATTTTGAGGGTTGCTTTCGACACTAAAGTGTCGTTTGACATGTGTCTTTGAGGGATTATTCTCATGACGCTAGACAATCGCGAACACGATTGTGTGTCATACCCTCTGCTGCACACTGCGGAGAGGAGCGGTAGGCAGGCTACGATCTCTTATGGCGGCGAAACGCCCCTGGCTTACACGAAGAGGCCCCATCTTCGGAGGCCTTGGAACATATCCTGGGGCGCCTGAGCTCCAAGCAATGGAGAAATTGTAAAAATCCACCTTATGGTGGCGAAACGCTCCGAGTTGCATACGAAGATCAGTTGGTCTGATCTCACGGCAGAATGGCACACGCGGTTCCAAGTGGAACCACCAAGGCTCCAAGCAATGGAGAAACTGCAAAAGTTCCACCAAAACACCTTGCCGAGCTCGGATTCGATTGTCGAGTACCAACGCTTGGCATCCACGCCCGACTTGCTGATCGGTTTCAAAGATGTGAAGCATCGCTTTATCACTGGATCGTGTCTGACATTGCAAAATGCCTTGATGAAAGGCGCAGAGATGCTCACTATAAGTGAGTTACTCTTCAACAGGGCGTCGCAGATCATAGTGAAGAACTCGGAAGCCTGCAATGTTGGCCGTTCGTCTTCCGCAGGCTCGAGAAGAGATCAACATCGACCAAAAGTGGTCGTGGCCGCAGCAATAACGCCGGCCGATTCTAACGAGGCTGCTTCATCAGATGTGGGAGATAAGTTAGCAGCTGCCCGACATGGTGGCCGCCCGGCAAAGGTCGAGGATGCGGCAAATTGAAGACAAGCACCGCTTCATCCCCGCGACCAGGAATAGCAGCTCAAGAACCTTAGCTCCATTACAGCATCTCGGAGGTGTGGTGCAACAGCGATGCACACGACACCGCAGGCTGTCCCACGAAAGCCAAGGGGAAGTCCCATCCGGGAAAGTGAGCACCACCGAGAGTGATCCGGCTCCACTCGCGACGCCTTCGGAATCGATTGCTTCACAAGCAACCGCCCTAAATTTTGAGGCAAACGCGGAAGTCGTAAGTCCTCTCCTTCTTCATTCTTTCGAGGTCTTTGCTGCCCAGCTTGTTCCATCGCTGGGTTCTCTAGCTTAAACCACGAATACCCCGCCCAACCAAAATGTTTTGCCTTCCTGAATTCATGGAAGACCTTGGAAGGCTTGGTAGGGGCTTGGTGGAGCCTCGACACAGGTGTAGGTGGTAGCTCGTTTTGAAAAGGAGAACGAGCGACCAAAGACCAGAGGAGCAAAAAAAAAAAAAAAGAGCAGAAAAGAAAGAGAAAAAAGAAGTATCGCTGAGGTTCTGTGAAAGAAAACGCCTCTCTGCTACTGTGCTCTCTGTGTGTGCAAATTGATCATGAATTTTTCGAAAAACATAGGAAGGATACAAACATGATTACCACGACCCTGACAAAGCTCCGACTTGTCGTTTGTGAATGACAGGCCGTGCATCAAGGAAAAAATCTTTGTTTCCGTTTTTTTTTTTCTTTTTTCTTTTGTTTCTTTCTTCCAAGTGACTATGTCCGACGGGTAGGGCATATTCACAGTGGGGCTGTCCAAAATGTGTTTTACCATTTTCATGGGCAAATCATTGCTTCTTTTTTTTTTTTTTTTTTTTTTTTTTTTTTTTTTT